ATATATATGTCAATCCTGCGTTACGTTAGTCATGACTCAAAAAGCTTAGTGGTGGACTTAGTGGGCGACTTAAGTTCAAATTTTATAAAAGGTATCAGGTAGGTAGGTGGTGATGATGAGTGCTAACTGGTACAAACCACAACTGAATAAAGGTTTCTTGAACACTTACTCACTTAAAAAAAGTGCTTGTACCAATAAGAAATGAAATTAACCAAACATGTTGAACACAAATTGATTGTTTTATCAATGTCATGTACTCAGTATTTTCACAAAGCGCTGATGTGGTATTCAAAAACAATCTGATTTTAACGAGTTATAGGTGAAAAACCCCATTCAATCCAATTTGGTTTATGCAGAGAGTTACTAATACTGATTATGACACAAAAACGTACTTTACAAAGACGAGTATTTAATTCTGAACTTTATGAATGAGTTACATAAATTATTTAACGAAAATTACTTAAATAATCATTTCATTTATAGAATTTCCACAAATTCATGTAATACACACACAAAAACGAATTAATGCAATGGAAATCTGATAAGTTTAAGCACTGCATTGTATTTACTGAGCTGTTTGAATAATCTGAAAGATTTCTATAACTCCTACTTGTTAACTCTTAATCCAGAAGGCTAAGAGTCAGTCAGTGACAACGTATGACTAGGCACATATATGCACCGCTCCAAGTTGCTATGCCACATTGGCAGAACAAGGTGAATACCAAATTCATAGAAGTAGTAAATTTAGTGGTGGTAATATATAAAAGAAAGATTGCATACAAGGACATAGTACATGAAGGAAAAATTAGTTCGTAGGAAGAAAAATATGAAGCGATTTTAACCTCATAGTTTAGGGAAAGATAGAGTGTATACACCTACACTTTTGTAATCGATTCTGAGCCATGTCACCAAGAGTCTCCAACCACTGGTTACGATAGTCACACGAACCCCAACCAAGTAGTCTGCATCTACCAACATAGCTCAGACTACAAGTTAGTGACTTCAAGCACTGATGCCACGTTTTGGTTTGGCCGCCCCTAACTTTCTTCCAACCATCTCCAACACCGGTTAGCATTGCGCGTCATGGTAATCGATGTTCAGGTATACATAACACGTAGCTCAGCCATCTCAGTCGATGAAGATTCACAACCTCATCAACTGATTTATCATCATTCCCTAATACCCTGCGCCTTACCTCACTATTACTTACCCGGTGATCCCAGCACACGCCAGCAATATTTCTAAGGCATCTGTGGTCAACTACTAGTAGCTTACGAGTATCTTCTACTCTTAGTGGCCATGTTTCGCAGCCGTAAAGTAGAACAGAACGAACTCGTCCTTTTGTTGATAGACGGATACCTCGCCTTCACCATAGGTGACGTAAGTTGGCAAAAGACAATCGAGGTTTTCGAATCCGTTATGAGATTTCGTCAGACACCAACCCATTAGGGTTGATCAGACTCCCAAGATAAGTGAAGTTGTCAATGCGTTCGACTACTTCACTCCCTATCCTTAGTTCAGGTGTTGACGCAGACCAGTCCTGAAGGAACAACTTGTATTTAGAGGGATAACGCAATGTTATTTGAAGCGAACGGTACTGAGTTCGAGTTCCAAAGTGGACATCAACTTGAGATGCAAGTACATCCAGCCAACGAGCCTCACAAACAAGACGAAATGCGCGTCCTGGATTCCACTGCTAGCCACTATCCATCTTTGTTTATAATGCTTGTGAATTAAGTTAATATCGAGATAATACACACAGTATACACATATGTCACTAAGAGACTGATCAATTGCAGTCCTAAACGTCAATGGGAAGATTCAAGTAAACAACACCAAGTGAATTTATCTACAACTGTTTAATGGATTTTGTAATCTATCCTGTGTGAAGTTAAATGACAAACATCATGATCCTGTAGTGTACACATTAAAACTGATTAAAACTTCAGGAATTCATTAGCTATAATTTAACAATCAGAATCAATTTATAAGCGCATCTAGACTCCATAAATTAGCAATTAAAATGATCGTTAATAAACTGCAATTCAGACAGTATTTTGATCATATTGTAAGATAATTGAACTGTTTTTTGAAGTGTTTCACTCAGTACCTCAACTGTTTGTTCAAATGTTTTATCAATAATCTATTTTCTTTGATAGCATCCTTACAAACACAATCTCTTAGGTCGGTTCCTATACTAATAATTTTCGTCCATTATGTAACTTCAACAGCTTTTTTCAAAATTTTCAGTATCTAATATTATATTTAACCAGTTTGTAGTTTGATTATCAGTTTCCATGTAAAACTAGTTTCTTTCTAAATCTTCATTAAAGTTAGTCAATTTTTGATTTGTATCGTATCAATTAGCTTAGATAAAACGGAATGCTTTTAGTAGTTTTTAAAAAATTATTGTTTTGTCGTTAACCGTTTTTTATGTTTGCCTCTATAAATTAATTTAGTATAAGAGTTACTATGTTATTCGTTAACTGGCCATTTAATTTCACACTTTTTACTCTCATATTTTACTAGAGAGTAGTGGAAGTTTTCAAACGTGAGATTTTCTCATCTAATTAGGGGTTAGGTGTTAGAATTCACGATTACAAATGATTGAGCGATCATATAACGATGAATTATTTTCAGTAACAGGAAAATCTCAAACCTTTTCTTTTATAATGATGCTTATTCTCGTCTTAACAGACTACTGCCACTTCTATTGAACATGGCTACAGATAACAAAAAAGTAAATATTCGTGAGGAATTTCAGAAGACAATCACTACCGATTTATGTAAATAACATTTAATGCGCCCATGATACCTTTTCAATTGACATACTCTCCGTGAATCTCCATCAACTGAGAGGATTCGACCACGTGTTGCGTATGCCTTAACACTGATTACCACGGCGCACAATGCTAAGCGGTGTTGGAGATGGTTGGAAGAAAGTTAGGGGCGGCAAAACCAAAACGTGGCATCAATGCTTGAAGTCATTAACTTCTAGTCTTAACCATGTTGATAGATGCAGACTACTTGGTCGGGGTCCGTGTGACTATCGTAACCGATGGTTAGAGACTCCTGGTGACATGGCTCAGAATCGATTACAAAGGCGTAGGTGTAAACACTCTTTGTCTTCCTTTAAATTCTGAGATTAAAATTGCTTCATATCTTTCTTTACACGTACTAATTCTTTCTTCCTGTACTATGTCCTTATATGCAATCTTTCTTTTATATATTACCACCACTGAATTAACTACTTCTATGAATCCGATGTTCATCTTGTTGTGTAATGTGGTATGGCAACTTGGGTCGATGCATAAATGTGCCTGGTCCTACGTTGTAACTGACTGACTGACTTGATAACCACTTGCTTGTGCAATAGGGTGAAGTTTAAATTCACTTGGTATTGTTTACTTGAATTTCCCCATTGATGTTTAGGACTCTAATTGATCAGTCTTTTATTGTATATAAAGTCTGAAAAATGTTTTTATTACCCCTAAAGTGTAAGTTAACTTTATTAAATGATCATGAACATTTCGTTTCAAAACTGTAGTTTATCCTTTCAAATTTACTTAAATTATAACATTTTAAACGTTTATTATTTACATGCTCATCTAGAGTATGTTTTAGAAGATCAGCAAACAATTCGGTACATTCTTTTTGTGTTTTTCTACAAATTTTTAAATGTTGACACTATGACAGGATGAAAAGGCAAAATTACATTGTTTTACTCATTGTGATTCTTCTTCAATATTAATTAATTCCACTTTTAATTCAATGTGATAATTATTCAGTGTAGTGGTGAAGATTTGTAGCTCAGGTGGATAATTTTGATGGAGTTTTGTTCTCTCAGCTGGATGGTTTGGTCTTGGAGCTTTCATCGTTCTTCTGAACAACATCATCAGCACTTCGATGTGTACAGGACAAGCTGTGAATCACATATGCAGAAATTCGAACACTTCACTTCTACTTGAAGTTTGTGCTGATGATGTCGTTCAGAAGTACGATGAAAGCTCCACGAACAAACCATCCAGCTCAAAGAACAAAACTCTATCAAGATATTCAGTGTAGTATTGGTTTTGGTTTTTCGGTGTGATCTTCTATTCGGTATAATATTAATTTATTTGAGTATGATGTATATCTGAGATACAATATTCTTGTATTCAATTAACATGAATTAGGCTCAGTATTATATGCAACATGTGACGTGTTATAACTCTGGGTATTTTTCATAAATGTAATTTCATCTTTATCATTAATCAAAATGAATGTTCAACCATTATATAAATAAGTGTAAATTTTGGACTAGTGCTGTCGTCATGTTTCAGGGTTAATATATCATCACTTGTACCAGTCTAGATATTCTTACATGGAAATTGGAGTGGGTCCTTCTTTCACAAGTATAAGTGATAAGCGATTCTGACATCACAATTATTGACGAACCAGTCATAACACATTACATGTCTATAATGTTCGGAACCGTAATTGTAAAGATGCCTAACATATTTTTATTGATTTACATGATTCAGAGATGAATAGACTCGCATTTAACCAATAAAAAGGAATATAATAATTAACAGATTCAACTTCAGGCACTTTATGAAATTACAAAGAACACATAAAATCCAGCAAAGGAAATCTCTTCTTTTTAAAAGTTCACTATCATGCGTTGGATACTCGACTAATGGATATCTTAATTTTAAGATTTCTTCGTCTTCAACCATTATCTACCAAGTTCTTATTCCATATATTCAGCACTACAGATCTTGCTCTATTTAAAACTTGCCTTCAACATAGATGTAATGAAATATTTCTATTTGATTCTACAAGGACATTTGAATTTAATCACTCAAACAACTTTCAGTTTGCTTATAGAATCTGTCTAAACCTAACAAGATTGTCTTCTCTACTAACTTTCGCGTACAAAAGAAGTATATATATATATATATATATAACTGAAATGATTATGTAAAACTAGACGTACAATTGAAACACTGATAGCTTACCATTAGGTGCATCCACATGAACAAACGCTGAATCATCTTCAACTTCCAAAACTGAATAAAACTAAAAATTACGATGAAAAAAAGAAAGTAATAATTTACTTAATATTTTATAAGGAATTATGTATATATTAACAGTTTCCAAAACAGTCTGATGTTAGTTATAAATAGCTATCGAGATCCAAGAATCAACAAATAGCTGTTTCTTCACAGTTTCATATTAAGTAACTCAAGACCTTGAGATATGGCGATGAGCTCTCAGTCTTTCAACCACTGAGTCAAGATTTAATGGTTAACACTTCTAAATTTAATTCATCTGCAGTACTGAGTAATCATCTTCCAGCACTATTGGTAAAAAAAAACCTCATACCAAAGATAGTTAAATTCTATTAGTCACAGTTTCTCATAAGGGCCAAAGGAATCACCACTCAAAACTATTAGTAATGTAGAAATATACATCGAGAGATAATCTTATGATTAAACACAACTACAACTTTATATGAAATTGAGAACTTTACAGTAGATACTAATAATTATGTCATAAAGACTGACCTCGGTAAAGCAGTATACATATTTCATGATCACACTTTAACAATAAATAGTTTATTCAATGGTCAGAACGTTGTTCAAACTGAATAACAGCAGAAAATATAAAACTTCCAACAGAATTCATTCTTTGATTGAGGTCATGAACCGATTGATGTTAGACCACCATTGAAGACCTGGAAGCACTGGACGTCCGTTTCGTCCTATTGTGGGGCTCCTCAGCAGTGCACGTCCACGATCCCGCTCGCGGGATTCGGACTCAGGGCCTTCAGGTTAGACATTAACTCCATTGGATGCCGGATCAGTGGTCCAGTAGGTTAAGAGTTCGCACGCGAGACTGAAAGCTCTGCGTTCGAATCCCGCAAGCGGGGTCGTGGATGCGCATTGCTGAGGACGAAACTGCCGTCCAATACTTCCAGGTTTTCAATGGTAGTCCAACATCAATCGGTTCATGATCTCAATCAAAAACTTAACAATCTCCACAACCCCTAAACTGATAATTCATTTTATTTAAATAAGTGAATGTAAATTTTCGGTTATTTTTAAATACTGAACAGAATTTACATACCAATCTATAAAGTGGTAAGAAATAATAATTTATAGAAGAAATATAAAAGATAATTAATTCATTTATTTATTGTTTATTCGAATTTTCTCATTGATGTTTAGGACTGCAATTAATCAGTCTCTTAATGGCGTATGTGAATCCTGTACGGATGACTTCAATATTGCCTTAAGCCATGTATTTAGTTTGAGTCCTTGAGTAAAAATCAACTCTAGGATGCAGATATATCCAGTTGATCAGTCCCAAATAGAATAAAATGCGCATCCTGCACTCCAATGCTAGTCACCATTCATCTTTGCTTATAATAAAGCATATTTGTCTACTTTTTTTTCGATAAAATCGTTAATGTTAATCCATTGGTGTTTCCGCGTGTGGGTTCAAATCCCGTCTCAGTCACCAGTTGTTATATCTAGAACTTAGTTTCTTAATATACTGCGTACAACTTGAGCACTCAAATGCTAGAACACTCCCAAGTCAAAAATGAGATGACGGAAGACAAGTAAAAGGAATGCTATTCCAAAACAGTGTCAATTATGATACAAAACTGTCAGGTATTTATAGTTTCTAGTAAAAATGAAATCATTATTATAGTCCTCCAACCCGCATACAGCGGGTTATTAGCGTTTGCCCAACAGGGAAGCTACATGCAGGGATTCTAGAATATTCTTACAAATGATGATTGGATGGAATATCTCCGATTCATTCCATCTGCAACAGTCTACTGTGGCAGAGAACAAACCAGCTTCCAGCTGAGGAGGAAATTAGGAAAAAATGATGGGAATGGACAGGACATAAATTACTCAAATCATCAAACTGCATCACGAGGCAAGCCTCAACTTGGAATCCTGAACGGAAGCGGAAAAGAAGAACACGTTACATCGGGAAATAGAAGAAGAAATGAAAAGGATGAATAGCAACTGGAAAGAGCTACAAAGGATTTTCCGACTTTGGCGTTTAGATCTCCCATCAGAATAGTGATGTCCTTTCTTGAGCACTTCTCTATGATTGATTGCAGTCGCTCGTAGAATTGATCTTTAACGTCGTCGTTGCTACTATTGGTGGGTGCATAACATTGGATAATATTCATTGTGATCCCCTTCTTCCTTGTTTTAAATGATGCTTTGATAATTCTGGATCCGTAAAATTCCCATCCTACAAGTGCATTTCGTGTTTCTTTAGACAGGATCAAAGAAACTCCCTGAGTGTATGGAGCATTTTCTGCTTCGGGACAGGAGTATAGCAGAACCTCTCCCGTTTCTAACCTTTGTTGTCCAGCTCGGGTCCAACGGGTTTCTCTGATTCCAAGTACTGCCAAACTGTATTTCCTCAGATCCTCTGCTATCTGACTGGTCTTCCCCGTTTCTCTCATTGTTCGGATGTTCGATGTACCTATAAGAATTGTTGCATTGTTTGTTAGAAAGGGCATCGGCCTCGTGACTTCCGAAGAATCTCGGCTGTCATCCTGAGGCATCATAGTTCTTCCTTCAACTCCCAGGGCAGAGCTTAAATGGTTTAATTTGTTTAATGTAGTTGGCGCTTTTTAGCAGGATTTTTTCTACGGGATGGGGTTGCCGACCTTATGCTCAACTCTCCTCCTTTACTCGAGCTTAGGACCGGCAGTAACTCGAGAAGAGCTATAGCAACCATAAACGCGCAAAGTTATTTATTAACTTGTTGATGTATCTAAATGAACATTCTATCATATATTTTCACTGATTTCATCTACTGAAGAATTCCTCTTAGCTAACATCTTATACCTAATCCCATGTAAATTATTGTTCATGCCAGCAAAACTGGCATGTGCCCGCCATATCAGAAGTATATTATTAGTGTGCTCGTAGTGTTATTCAATATCCTATAATATATATATATATATATATTTACAACTGAGGAACATCTAGAACTCAAAGCAACTGTCAACCAACACCAAGGCCAGGATTTTCAATACAAAGGTCAACACAGTTCTACTGTATGGGGCAGAAACCTGGAGAACTACGAAAGCCATCATCCAGAAAATACAGGTGATTATTAACAATTGTCTACGCAAAATACTTCAGATCCATTGGCCGGACACTATTAGCAACAACCTACTGTGGGAGAGAACAAACCAGATCCCAGCAGAGGAAGAGATCAGGAAGAAGCGCTGGAAGTGGATAGGACACATATTAAGGAAAGCACCCTACTGAGTCACAACTCAAACCCTCACATGTAGTCCTCAAGGCAAAAGGAGGTGAAGAGGGAGACCAAAGAACAGATTACGCCGAGAAATGGAGTCAGATGAGAAGATGAACGAACAACAATTGGATAGAACAGGAAAGGAAGGCTCATGACAAAGTGGGTTGTAGAATGGTGGTCGGCGGCCTATACTGCATTGGGAGTAGCAGGCGTAAGTAAGTAAGGAGTAAATCAATAGAATTCAGCTTGTTCTAGACAAACATGATATTGGTTTATGTTAAGTGACGAACTTATATACATTTTTTTCCATTTTAACCTAAGAATCAGTAAGGTCGATGCCCATTTAAGGTCTTTTGACTTTATAATAAAACTCATGAAGAGAGATGAAATTCATTTTAAAGCATAGACCGAAATTCGGACAATTTTCTTTAAAAAAAAATGTCTAAAATAATCTTAAAATTTAAGATGTAAGAGAATATAGAAAGTGAATGCATGTGCCCCATTTATGACCGATTATAAGCCGCATCACATAACATCTCAATCCATTATTTACAGTGATGATGTGGATGTTAGGTCCTCAGAAATCACTTGGTAAATACCTTATTTTTGTAATTTTATTTTAAAAATTTGAATTTCTTATTTTCGATCCAAAAGCCCTCATAAGTCCCACCTTCATGTCCTATTTCCCACTTTGGAGAATTTCAAACACTATTGGTTCGTTACATCTTTTAGTATGCTATTTCGTAACGCTTCCTAAGGACAATTTTATGCTATATATATATATATATATATATATATATATATATATATATATATATATGTTTGATTTGTGTCTGTTGTTATTGCTCGTGCTTCCGGCTGCTTACGAAATATATTTCCCCATTTCTCTCTAGTTAACGGTACTGGGACGCGTCAGAATAGCTATCTTATTGGTCATTGTATCACAGAGTCTTTGTTCCGTTCTCAGACTAGGTGAACTCATCATCACTTTGAACAATAGCAAGTGAACACAAAGACTCCAATCACGTAAAAAATCATCTTAGTGACACAAATTATTCTATTCCTTATCCTTCATTAAATATTAAGCTTTCAACAGCTTAATATGTTGTTATCAAACTAAATTATCTGTATCTGTTTTTTTCTTCTTTAAACAAAGATGAATCTTATTACTATTTTGAATCCCTTAATTGTCACCTTATTTATTTCCTCTCTCAGAACGGATAATATAATCTTCCGCAATTGATCAATTGATGATCTTAATAGCTAAAAATAATTATTTAAATTGAATAGATAAGTTGGATAATTCATGTATATATATATATATATATATATTTATTTATTTATTTATTTTAACACATAGATATTGGTACAAGAAGGCACCAAATACATATGCGTCACACAAATCTCATTTGATACGTGTGAGGGCTGTGATACTGCCCGGGTGCCCAAACCGAAACAGGTGGTTTTCTTGGGAGGCCACTCCTCGAGCCTTCGACCTGAAAGTCTGATCCACGAGGCAGTGGAGCATCGTGAGGAGATGCAGTCCCATGGAAGCCGGTGACCAACAATTGGTTCATACACCATTCGTTCCCACAGGATACTGAAGCCCATGAGCACCAGTGGTTTGGAATCCGGTTAAAGCGCCAGACATTTGCTTTTCGTCCTCTCAGTTTCGTAGACAATACTCCCGCCACGAGAAGGCATTGAGTAGGACTTCGCTGGCAGAGGCTATATACTTGTAGCCATGTGAGAGCATTTGGAGAGGGAGAGCGGACTCT